AGCTAGTGTATGAATTTCGGTGTCTGTGTGTGTGTCCCAAATAATTTGCAATCAAAAGTTGCCGGCTACGGAAATTCACAGCGAGTGTATATACTTATATATCTGTGTGTTTGTGTGTGAGAGGGGGCGTGGCGTAAGCCTTAAGCTATTTATCTCACTCACTATCTCTACCTCACACTGCCTGGCTTTTCCACATTTTCCCATTCTGATTTCGGGATAACTTGTAAAGTAATCTGAAGCATGGAGAGCTCAAACTTTGTGCATTCTTCGTAGATCACAATTAAAATATTAGTTTTGAGCGCGACTTGTGTAAAGATTTGGCCAACCCAAACAAGCTTTAATTAAATGCAAAATGGCGACAGACGCTAATTGCCCGCAACGCCCGCGCGATTGTCTTGTTTAAAAAAGAAATGCGCCTAAAGGAAATGGTGAGACTGAGAACAAGAAAAATTGAAAGAAAGGCAAGGGAAAACCAGCTTAAACAATGGCCTGAAGCTGAGCCGAAGCCAAAGCCAAAAGCAAAACAAAAACAAACCAAGGCTAAAGCAACAACAAGAGAGCGCCAAGATTGTGAAGAGATTAAAACCTCGGCCAGGCTTAATTGAGCGGAGCGGCGAGGAGGAATAGTCCACATCGCGTATACGCGATGTTTGCGAGACGCGTGAGCTAAATGCCAAAATCCGAATGGTAGGGCAAAAGAAAAAATAGCCAGGAAAATACGGAACGCTTTCCACATTGTGATGCAGCGGCAACGAAAAGAAATGCAGCATTGACAGAGCTGCAGAGACTGCGGAGGTGAACCATTTGGCATTCTTATTTATCCTTTCACCAACTTCAGTTCACATTTTGTATGCAAAATGCGCCAAAGCAACTACAACATCAATGGCGGAGAGAAAGAAAACGCTACAATGGAAGCCAACAACAATGAGGACAACAAGAGTCAAGCCACATGCATTCATTCATTTGGTTTACTCATTTAGTTGCAGTTCTTTTCTCCCATTGCAGCATTCTTCTTGCCAACGACAATTGAAGATTACACTCTAAATAAAAAAAATCATTTAAAAATGTAAAACTTAGAAAAGAAGTAACAAACAAAAAGGTTTCATAGAAACATATTTTTAATCAACTTAAAATCTTAATAAAGAAATGACATTTTAAATAGTTTATATTATAAATATAAACACAAGCTTTTCTCAGTTTTCTGTTGACAGTCACTGTTGCGGCACACTTGAAGATTTTACTCGGATGCTGGTGTTGTTGCCACTATTATTGTTATTATTGTTGTTCCGCTGCCGAGAGCGAAGAACGAAGCGGAGAAAGCAAAGAAAAGCTAAGCAAACACAAGTAGCTGGCAACAATAACAAGAGCAGCACCAACAGCACAACAATAACAAATTGTAACATAAACTTTTAGCCGCCGGCATTTTAGTTGACTAAATGCTCGACTTAATTGGCTAACAGTCGAGGGTAGAACAAAATAAAGTTTAAAAGAAAAATCTCAGGCATTGAAAACCTTACTGCGGACTATTGAAAAGACTTTGGCCTGACCCGATTTGAAAAGCAAATAAAAAAACCAGACAATAGAAAAACCTATGTGTTTACTTACGCAAAACCGATAATATGATTTCCTTTGATATAAAAAAAACTGCTACAAATACAATATTATTTAAACACCAGCAAAATGCTCACAAAGAAACAAAGAAAATTAAATTTTCAAATAATAAAAAATGAAATCAAACAATACGAGCATAACAATTGAAACCTTAATAAGTAGTGAAAATATTTGCACTTTCAAATCAATTTTAATCGGAATAAGCTGAATAAATTATGGTAAAATATACACAAAGGCATTTTATACACCTTTTGATTAAATTTGCCATATAATTAAACCTATGACTTCTAAAATAAATCAACATCAATCAAGCATTTCTCTATTTTATTCGCTCATTTTTCTCTACTTCGACATTGCCACCAGCCAGTTTATCGTATTTGCATACATCAATTGCAATTTAATTGCCAACTATTTATAGAAAATAAAAGCAATTGAAGCGTAGCTGCTTGCTTTGTGCAAATGCCGCCAAACGATAAAAATCAGCAACAAATCAGCTTAAAAATGGCTCAAAAGCCTCTCTCATTTATGGCCGCACAACATGGAAATATGTAAATTGGTTGGGGCTAAAAAGTTTTAGCACCGACTGCAACACGTTATAGTGATTGGAGGCTACTTTAGCCAGCAAATTGTTTGCTTTTATATGCCATTGCCACGCCCACGTTGGCGGCGAATGGGCGTAAGTGACTGGCTGAAATACTCGAATATGCAAGTGTTTGTGTCTCTGTCAGGCTTAATTATTGTAAGTCAACACTTGACTACCGAGTGATTTACAAGCGTTGTTATTTTCCCTGTTTATGCTGGCCCAACAATGTCGAAAGACAAGGTCGACATGTTCGCAGGCCCCCGAACACTTTATTGACTTCAAAATCCCATTGGGGGAAACACTACGTATACGCAATGTGTGGAAAATTCAGCTAAATCAACCAAGTAAGAACATTTATTTGCGGGACAACCAACAAATGGAATCGAGCATAATTATAAGCAAAGTTTGGCTAAGGAATAAGGAACTGGCAAAAACGTGTGGGCAGCAGTGGATGGGGAGGGAAAAGGGGGCGTGGCATTGCGGCAAATCGGGGAGGGGAACTTCAACTTCTTGGCAACAAACAGCAAACCGCAAATAGCAAACACAAACACACACTGGGAGTCGTACGAAGTGCGGGGAGTGCATGTTTAGCAAGCCAAAATCAGAGCCAAGTTGCAAGGTTGACCAAAAGACAACAGCAGCAACAACAGTTTTGCTGTATTTAAATGGATTTTGGCAACGAGAGTTAGACAAACCCGCAAAGTGCAACAACAACAACAGATGCAGACACAGATACAGATACAGATACAGAAACGACTACGGATACAAGAACAGAACACCCACCGCATCGAAATCAGCATCAGAAACCAACTTGGAAACACAGTTAAACACTGAGAACTATAATTAAAAACTAGAGTTTCAAATGGAGTTTAGATAACAAATAGTAAAGGGTTAATAGCATCAATACAAAATACTCCCAATGGTAATGATAAAGAATTTAGGTACTATTTAAAAATCACTTTATTAAAATTATTTAGATTTTTTTTCTAGTTTTGTTAAGTGCTTCGATATTATGCCGCTTCCGAGTGTAAGCCAAAGTTTGCATTTGAAGTTAGGAGTTGGCTGCCGGAATTGTAGTTGCAATTGCAGTTGAAGTTGCCAAAATACTAAATGTCTATCCGCAATGCCCACAAGCGCACACAAGCCAAAATTTTCATTCCCAGACAGAGATAAAACCATGTAGATAGAGTTGAAGGAACCGGGAAACTCAGAGCCCCAACTCAAATAAAAATGTATAAAAACCTCAACATCTTTTCTCCACTTGCCTTAAGTTAATTTACACTTTACGGGGCATTTAATAATTGCATTTCAATTGCCATTAGCTGGAGAGCCGTTTGAACCCGACACCATGCCTTCTGCTAATTAGGCTACTTGGCTGGTTGCCCTTTTCCTCCCGCAGACTCATTATTGCCTTCAATTAGAAGAAAAGTCCGTGCGCCCGAAACCGCTTACTGCATAAAAATTAATTTAAATTGCTATTTAACTGACCATGCAAAGGGCTTTTCCTCAGCCAGCCACCTTGGCTTTTCTTCTATTTTACCCCTCACAAATTTTTTTCTTTTGCTCGGTGGAGCTTGAGGTTTTGTGAGGCAGGACGTTTGCTAATTAATTTGTGAAAATGTCTGGAGTGGGACAAAGGACAAATACAAGCTGTTCTTGTCAATGTTTCTTATCCGGTCCCTGCTGCACTTGAATATTCTCCAAGGATATGCGACCCTTTCCTGCATCCTGAATTTCCCTTCTAGTCGATATGCTTGACATGCTGCAGACTTGTATCGCTATTTTTATACAGACAAATTTAAAACACACAAGGACAGAGTTTGCAGTAGATACGAGGGCAAAAAATAAGGTAGATGGCAATGATAGAACACGTTTTAATTTTAAACACAACAAGCCACTGCCAAGGGGGCAAAATTGGGAGGGTAGAAAAAATCAGTTGCTTGGAGCAAAGGTTAACTTAATTGGAAAGAAAGTTGTATAGTTTAAAAACCAAATATCTGTAGTATCCGCTCAAGAATCCGAGTTCAGATGCTGTATAAAATGATTAAAAGAGCCAAGAATAATAATATGAAGTTCGTTTTATGGTTTAATCTTAAAGCTAATGACCCTAAAGCTTTAAGAACTCGCAACAAAGTAATTTTACCTGCTCAGCATAAAATACACACCCGAAAAAGAGCGAAAATAAACAGAAGAGGTGGAAATCTAACCCAGTTGCACACATTCACATAGCTCAAAAGTAACGCTTGCCACCTCAACTCAAACATTTTCGCCTAGGTGTTAAAAATAAAAAGCTGTCAGAGCTGGGGACTCATTTAGTCCCTGCAGCACACATGCGGGATTAAGGGAGGGTTAAGGGGGGTGCCCTGACTCACCTGTACTATTTCCCCAGACCCCCTTTTATCCGCCCTTGGAATCAGTACACCCCCCTTTCCCCTTCCAACAAGAGTCACGTCTCTGGCGTTGTCATAATGAATTCAGCGTTTATGGCGCTTATTCCATTTGGTTTCATTATCAGCATGTACATGTGACCCCCTCCACACTCGCCACCCACTTTAGCCACCCCCTCTGCAATGTCATGTGCGTGGGGAGTGGTGTCATGAACTTTTTGGCCAAAATGGGCGAGAGAAGAGGCTGGGACAAAAGCGCATTACAAACATTTGAAGTTGAAAATTGAGGCTGAAGGTTGTATTTGTGTTTTCCCAGCGACAACGTGACAGTTTCAACTTAATTACGTAATCATAGGAAATTGGTTTTTGTGAGCTACCAATCATCTAACCGTTCTCTATCTATCTTGTAATTTTTGCAGGTTCGCACACTTTTTGTCAGTGGTTTGCCCATGGACGCCAAGCCGCGCGAGCTTTATTTGTTATTCAGAGCCTATGAGGTGAGTGCTTGACTATAATTACGATTATAATATATTTTAAAACAAAAAACTTTGACTTACTCAGGGCTATGAAGGATCTCTTTTGAAAGTAACTAGCAAAAATGGCAAAACTGCATCGGTAAGTACCAAAGTTTTTATGTGTGTTCATTATAGTTAAAGAAATACAAATTATTTGTTTATTTTTTTCTTTATTTAAATATTGAATTAATAGCTATTAACAATATATATTCATATTTATTTTCCACAGCCCGTTGGCTTTGTGACATTCCATACAAGAGCTGGAGCTGAGGCAGCTAAACAGGATCTGCAGGTAAATATTACTATTGAATTTACCTCTATCTTTATACCTTGAACGATCGAAAAACACCAACATGGTTTAGCAAACTTTTATGCAATACGACAAAAATAAATAAATATATTCTCAGCGACAGCAAAATAACCTGACACACTTAACATAAATTGTAAAGCACCCAAAAAGAAAGTACTGATACTACAACAACCAAAATACTTGTATACTCGTATTGCCTGGCTTAAATACCGTTAGGCCTCCGTCGCCGCCGCTCGAAAATCGAGCTCAAGCTCCTTTTGCATCACCGAAAATCACAAAAAAAAAATAATACAGACAAACAATAGCAAACAAACAAACAACAAGAATCCACACGAACACGTGCTTGCATTTGAAAAGAAAGAAACTTTTACATTTCACCCAATCGCATTAAGTGTTTCCCTCTCTGTCTAGCCTTCGCTGTCCGGCTCTCTCTATATATCTCTATTCTCTATATATCTCTCCCTCTCTCTCTATCTTCCCATTGAGTTGTCTTATTGTTTTTGGTATTTGCATCCCCCTCCCTTTAATTTGCTCATTCTACAAAACTCTTTGACACGCAGAGAACACAAATACACAAGTATACTGGTACACTCATCACACCCACACACACACACACTTTCATCTCTGGCAAAACTCTGCAAAAATGGCAAAAGCAAAAAGCACCAAAAACCAGAACAGCAACCAAATGAAAGCAACGTCTCAAGCCTGTGGTGCATGTCCCCCCCTGCCACACCCCCCAAAAAGCCACTAAGCCCCTGGAAGAGCACTATAAAATATCTAGAAATGACTAGTAACAATCCTTGGAGTTTTGAAAATCCCTAAAAGCTGAAAATGTTGTCAAAGATGTGGACAAGTTCGCCTCAAAAGAACAAATTAAGTTTTGTTAGTAAATAAATTTTCATACATTGAAGAAGTCTGAAAAATAGAAATTGATTCATTGTTTAATAGTTCAAGTTTTAAAATTTCATAACAAGTACAAAAATATTTATATTTTTGTTTCTTACATTAAATATAGAAATATGATCAGAACCTTAAGTTTTCTGGTTAACTGTTTACCAAATTGATGATAGAAAATTACAGTATTATGATACTTTGCTTTTGTCGTAAGACCCCAATTATAAGCATAACACTCATAGCCAACCGTCACGCCCCTTAACCAAAACTCAGACTACAGAGCAGGCACCGTGCAACACGTTGAATGTCCCCCGCCCCAAAACCTCAAGCAATAGTGATCTCAAAAAAAAAAAAACCAACTATTTTACCACCCATTTTTTAAAGCGTTACTTTCACGCGACATTCAAAATTATTTTTGGCGAATTGTTGCTAAAGAAAATTGCTCGAAAAATCTCCCCCGAAACTTTAAAACTTTGCTGAAAGAACAAATTACTTGAAAAAATACATGAGAAAATACAAACCGCTGTATTTTGATCTGATCATTTACAGCAGGGTGTACGCTTCGATCCCGATATGCCCCAAACAATTCGCTTGGAATTCGCCAAGAGTAACACGAAAGTGAGCAAACCCAAACCACAGCCCAATACAGCGACAACAGCCTCACATCCTGCATTGATGCACCCACTCACTGGACGTAAGTAAAAAATAAAAAAGAAAAAAAAAAACAAAACAAAACAAAAAATAAATCAAAAGAAAAACCAAATATGAGAACTCGGCAGCTGCTAATTTCTTTCATTTTGTTTTGTTTTCCTTTTGTGTATGTAGTTGATATTTATAAACAAAAACCAATGATATGTTTAAGGGTACAAGAAATCCGAACCGAAGGCGTACTCGAGCACCTCCTCTAACTATCGACAAAACCACACACACACACACACACACACTTACACACCGAACACTCACACACTGATACACAGATCTATCCAACAAATGAGCAACTGAAAATGTTAAATATTGAAACGATAAAAACAAAACAGAAACTTGCTTCAAGTGCACACAACTTTATATATATATCAGCAAATAAATATCGTAATATCTTGTATGCTATATCTTCTATATTAAGTTGTTATCTCTGCATAATTCGAGTCGCTATTGAGTTATATATATATTCCCAACTAGGTTACAGCAACAATTACTACAACATCTATATATAATGTACTGCACTTTGATCACTTGTAACACTTTGTGCAACTCACACACACACGCTCAGAAACACAAAGACCATACACGCCTAAAACTGAAGAATTTAAGCCAAAAAGCTAAAGTTATGACTGATTGGAGCTGATCCAAGTGCCAAGAAGTTCAGAGATCTTAAAAATATTCCTTAATAATAACTCATAATTAATCTCGGATTTTATAAAATCAATTGAATATTAAATAGTTTTTTTGAATTCAAAAAATAAAAGACTGAGACAGCGAACTTTAAATATTAAAATTAATTTTTTAATATATATTTTGTTTCGTTTTGGAACCGTTCTTGTTTTTACCATTTAGATTTTTGTCAACTAAAACCTGTGTTTAATACTCATATAGTACCCCACTTAGGTGAGCTGCCATCTGATTTACCCCACTATCTCTCTTCTCGACTCACAGATCTGGGTGGGCCCTTCTTTCCGGGCGGACCGGAGCTATGGCATCATCCGCTAGCCTACTCGGCAGCCGCCGCCGCCGAATTGCCCGGAGCAGCTGCCCTGCAGCATGCAACACTAGTGCATCCGGCCCTGCATCCGCAGGTGCCCGTGCGCTCCTATCTCTGACTAAATACAGACAAAGTAATGGAGCAGCCTATGCATCAAGTAAGTGTACTGATTATAATATTTATTGCTTATAAACATTTGATAAGGATAAATATTTATGAAGGTTTAGTTTGCTTAAAAGTGTTTTGTGTAAATCGGGTCGTATACGTTATATTTTTATAACATGTATATTTCTTTAAACAACCGTTATTGATTTAAAGCATATTTAAGCCTTTTTTCAGGAAAAAAAGTGCACAGTTCTTTCTATACAAATTTATTCATTTAAGTTAATGTGGTACAAGTAACATAAATGCGATATCAAATTAAAAATCAAAGAATTATTGAAATTCAAGCAAAGTTGCTTATGTAATGATTTTAATTAATATTTTTCCCCCTTCCAGACTCAAATGACCATGCCGCCACATCATCAGACAACTGCTATTCATCCCGGAGCCGCGATGGCTCACATGGCTGCCGCTGCGGCGGCCGCTGCTGCCGGCGGGGGTGGGGGAGCGGCGACCGCTGCTGCTGCACCGCAGAGCGCCGCTGCGACGGCCGCCAACAATGTGGCTGCGGCCGCTGCCGCTGCAGCCGCTGCTGCTTCGCACCACCACTATCTGTCGAGTCCGGCGCTGGCCAGTCCGGCTGGATCCACGAACAACGCCAGCCACCCGGCCAATCCGCAAATTGCGGCCAACGCGCCCTGCTCCACGCTGTTTGTAGCTAATTTGGGCCAATTCGTGTCCGAGCACGAGCTGAAGGAGGTGTTCTCTAGGTAAATTACCCCACAAACGTCTCAATTAAGACCATGTATTTCTTTTCACAACAATGAAAACTGCACTGAGATCACAGGAAACCACCACACCAAAGTATAAGCCACCCGATCACACATTACCAGCATAACAACCACCACTCTTGATGGCACTTTGTGAACTTTCTTAACCGAGTACTAACCGAAAACTTTTGCGTTCTCTTCCTTGGTTCGTTTGTTGCCCACCATCCCACCCACCGATCACTCTTCTTGTATGATACATGATAACCGACATATATATCTAACAAAAAATCAAAAAAATATATATACGCAACTATGATATATAATATGCACAGTATGCCTGGCTTTTGTCGCCTACGAATGCACACAAAAGGTACGCACCCAATCACAACTTCTATGCCTATGACTTTGTCTTCAACTTTGACCTCAACAAAACCAACTTCAACTTCCTACTCCACAACAACATCGGCGACTTGCCTTGACCCACCACTGCTACTACCACCACCACCACCACCATCATCATCAGCCATGGCAGCAGCAACTGGCTCAAGTTGCTCCACCAGTAACGGCGGCAACAACAACGGCTCTGCAGCGGTGCAACAACATCCGGTGGCATTCATCGAGTTCAAGGACCCACCGAGCGCTGCCCAGGCCATGCAGCAGCTGCAGGGTAAATATCTGCTCAGCTCGGATCGCGGTTCCATTCGCATCGAGTTTGCGCGCAGCAAAATGATCAACGAGATGGCCATTATGAACACCAAGTCACAGCCGCCACCACCACCAGCACCCATGTACATCTTGAACGGCGGTGGCGTGGCTGTGGAGCACTTGCTGGTCACTGCCCCACCACCGCCGACGGCACAGCAACAGCAACAACTTCAGATGCAGCAACTGCAGCAGCAGCAGCAGCAACATCAGCAAGCGCAATTGCAACAGCAACATCAACAGCTCACTGCGGCAGCAGCACCACCCTGCACCACAGCAAGCACCTCCAACAGCACCACCTCTAGCGTTGTTGTTAACTCACTACAGCACCACCAACTTCTTCATCCAAATCAGCACCACCAAAATCATCTCTTTAGAGACGTATGTATTATTCTGGGTGAACCAAATGAACCAAGTTTCTTCTAAGTCTGTGTACAGTAGTCTAACCCTAGAGTGAATCCCTTCACCATTATCATTAGTTGCTCCACTATAGTGCCGCACCCAAACCTTTAGCCCATAAATATTAGAATAAGCCATTCAATCCACAAAAAGGTTTTCCCCGAAAATCCCTCACATGCGCATGACCCCAAAAAACCCAACCAATTCACAGGCCCCAAAAAAGAAAAAAATTAAAGCGAACCCCATTAACTATTTATAAAATTTTGCAAATTGTTATTGTTAAGCTTGCTCGTTTACTTTGCATGCTACCAACCACCAACACCACAACAACAGCAGCAACATGAGCAGCAAGCAACAATCCAGCAGCAATCAGCAACAACAAGTAAGAACTTACCTAAGGGACGGCCCCAACCACACACACACACACACCCACAGGCACACACACTTGTACTACACACACAAGCGTAGTCATAACAATTGGAGCCGCATTTAAATACAAATTATAGCACACGAAAAGTTAGCGGCCATAACAAGTTACGGCTCGCAGGGAAAATGGCCAAAAAGGTGGTTTGGCAACATCCTAGACATCCGCTTTCTAAATGCTCGCTTCCGTTGGGAGTCGGCACCCACCCACTGCCTTAAGCACCACTGTATCTCCACTTGGCCCCACCACATGTGGGGTGTGAGCCACGTATCTTGAATTCTGAAAGACCACATAAATTTATTTTTTTCAATTTGCTGCAAGAAAAGGCAGCAGCAGCAGCAGCAACAGCAACTGCAGCGGCAACAACTTTATGAAAAATGCAAAAATTAAACGCAGCTTGCCACACCCATTTTGCCATACACACAACCCACTCGAGTGCCCCACCAACTTGACCACTGCAGCAGCAACGTTAAATGTTTGGGCTTTAAGCCGTTTTCGTTCGAGCCATGAACTTTTCCTAACTTTATTGTAGCTTGCTTGCTTGCTTGAAAATCAATTTACATATTGAGGGGTGAGCATGTTTAAGCTGTAATAAATTTAATAACCAGCACATGGAAAATTTTGCATGGGAGAAAATAAAATCATTACGTTTACTTGACTTTAAATTAATTGTGCATAGCTGAATTAAATCTAAAAATTATTCAAAATTTAAATATACATTTTTAAAATTTAGTTCACTTTAAATAAATAATATCTTTCTCAACTATAGAAATAGTTAACTGAAAATGAATTTAAACACATATTAAGTATACGCATGGATAGCCCACACGTAGTCACTAAGATAGCCAGCATGCATGGTCACCAGGCACCACCGAACCTCGTAGATAAACCAACTCACATCGACCTAAAACTAACAATGGCTACATTAATCTGACAATTATTTTCAGAGGAGCGGGTATGGAATCACGGCATGATTTGCTCGCTAAGAAGCTAGAGCGCGAGATGCAGCAGCAGCAGACGCAACTGCACCACCAGACGCAGCAGCACCACCACGCAGCAGCGCAGCACTACGGCCATCAGACAGCGCACCACCAGCACCACCAGCAACAGCAGCAGCAGCAGCAACAACAGCAACAACAGCAGCAGCAGGCACAACAGCAACACCTGAGCCACCCCCATCACCACCATCAGCCGCATCAGCAACAGCAGTTTTTAATGACGCCGACAGCAACCTGACCCGGCGGCAACTTGAGCCACCACTATGCGACGCAGCACCACCAACTCCACCAGCCGCACCACATCTACTCGTACGTTCTGCCGGCGGTCAGTCACATAGCAGCCTGATGACATCACATTTGAGTTTGAAAATAGAGGCAAACAGAGCTCCGCATGCAACGGATCCATGCGAGGAGGCAAACCTTTAGTTCTAGATATAAACAACAAAAAAAATATTTAAAAAATCCAAAAAAAAAAAAAAACAAAACAAAATGGAAAAAATGCAAAAAGAAGTTAATTTATATGTGACAGAAACAAAAGAAAAAAGCAGACCCCGTAACCCAGTTTAGTGAAATTTTTCGACAGGCAACAAAAAGGATTGTAGTGGAAACCAAAAACGGGATAAACTTGTAGTAAAATATACAATTTACGATAGATCGGAAGCTGAGCGAACTACTTAACTAAGTTAGTTGCAATACAGCCGATATGCCCCTTTAAACGAATACACACACATATATGCATAAAACTATATGTAGAAATTATATATAGCATGCTGATCAATAATTTGTTGGTTATTTTACTCCTATTTAATGTTTTTAGCTTGATCAATTGATTTTGTTTAAGAGTTTTTGTTTAAAGTTACTATATTTGTTTCTTTTTCTGTTACAACTCCCTCGTTCATCCTGAAACTTACCGACTTTCAACAAATGGAATTGAGACATGAAATTCGTATTCTTTTTGTAATTCACTTTTTTGTTTGATATATCAAGCAGTGTAAGGGAATAAAATATTAACAAAGTATAAGGATGAGGAAGAATATATAATTATAGCTTAACCGAATGTGCCCTTTAAATAGCTCTCTTTCTAGAATTATGAAAAATAATACGAAACAAAAAACCAAAACAATTTAAATATATGCATTAATGTAATAATTGTATGACTAGTAAGGTAATTTTCAAAATGTTACTCAACAAGAAAATTCTACAAAACAACCACAACGAGTAGTCGATGTCATCGTATAAATTTAAATTTATATTGAGGAATACTAAAAGCTGGTTTCGAAACTTATTTGTTAAAAACGTAAGAATAACGAAATTTAAATGTGAATTTGAAATTAATCCGATAAGACCTATCGACGATTTGGGATGAACGTTGCAGGTGCGCTGTAGTGAAGCAAAGACTCGAAAAAAATACGACTTTTAAAAAACAACAGGAAAAGCTGATACGAAACTTTAACAGAAACTGGCACAGGACACTCTAAACTTTCCGCCCAGAAATATGTTTTCTTTCACCATTTTTGTTCAGAATTTTCTGCGTTTCCCCTACAAAGACTTGAACTTTACTAGAGGGCCCCCAACCTAAAGGACTCCATCTAAATAATGAGAAACTATTCCTATCTAACTTTCGAAATGCTAGAACAATCAAATCACATTTCTTGCTAAACCAACGATCGCTTTAGTGTGGGGAAGGACGCAGGATGAGATCGGTTGAGGAGAGATCGGAAATAGTGGGTGGGTGGGGAGAGTGAAGAGGAGGTAACAGCAAACAAGGACGAGTAAATAAAATCAATTGCATATCATCTTTCGTAGCAAGCACAAATCGAGAATGTGTAACTACAAAAGGAACAAACAAATTGAAGTGTAACTAAACGCAAGAAAGCAGCAGAAACCAACTATTATTAATGATACAAGAATGTAAAGCTTAAAGGCTAAATACTATATATAGTTAAATATGAAAACAGTTTACATGCAAGCTTTTTACAAAATAATTTTCAAATGTGTTTTAAAATAGTTCGTTCAGCCTTGTTTAAACCAATTTAAGTATATATATACGGATAAAATCTTCAAATTTTACCAAAGTTGTCCTTACTAATTTAACAAGTTATGTTAACCACTTCACACACAATTTGTTAAACAAAAAACGGAAGAGACCACGAGTAAATCAACTAATTTTAAATGTTTTTTAAAGCTTAGTTTAGGGTAAATGTGACTAGACATACCAAAGGCATATTTGACAAAAAAAAACAATTGTTAAGAAAAAATATGAAAAAAAAAACTAAAGAAAACATCAATTAATTGGTACATTTTTAGCCCTTTTCTACACATTTTTCTTTAAATATAAACTTATTTAATTTTCTGTCTAATTTTAGTCGAATGTAAAATGCATATTCCGTCCAATTACATTTCTTGCTTTCCTCTTGCCCAAAAAATCATCTCTTCGCCAGCATCGCGTTGGTTTGAAAATAAACATCGTCATTCGAAGTTAAGAACAGAGGTCTACTTATAAGTCTGCAATCCTAACACACACACACGCACACACTCACCACAAAGACAAGTAAATTAGTTAAAGTTTTAGTGTATAAGCAAGATGAAGCAAATGTTTAATTATACATAATATACTAATGCATATCATAAAATTGCGCCTTTCAAAACAATTAAGAAAACAAACAAACAAACAAGAAGCCCGATGACGGAAAACAAAAACAAAAATATTTACAACTACAATTAAGCATACAAAACAAAAGAAAATTAATAGAAGCTAAAGTATGAAACAAATATTTTCGAAATTAATTTTTAGCGCCTAAGAGTGGCCGACGAGCCCAGAAGTATGCAACAAAAGCAATGGAAATACGCATAGGTGTGTGAGTGTACATGTGTGTGTGTGTGTGCACCTGGGGAAAATCTTGTGCAATTTTCATTCACGACAGATAGCTAAGAGGGAAAACCAGCGCGGTGGCAAGGTTGTTCAATCCCCACCCCAAAAAGAAAAACCGTTTCGAGGCTTGATTTCAAGACATTCTTTAATCTAAATTTCATAGCTATATACATCCAGATAGATATTGGAAATATCTCAACAAAACCAGAATATGAAAACCTAGCTCGTAAACGATAAACTAATGAAAGCTAAATTGAATGAATGACAGAAAACCTAAACTAAACAATATGAATTATGGGAACATTATATGAATATATATACACACACATATATTAAAACATTTTTGAAACAAAAGAAAACTAAATAACGATTACAAAGAAGAAGAAAAAAAATAACAAATACATATCAGCAAACGGATAAAGAACAAAATGAGAAGAAACTTTTACAAGAAAAATTATTAAGGGAATATAAAACCGATATGTTTTGATGTGGTTTTAAATTTTTAAACATTGTAAGCGTAAAAAGGCAGAAAAGCAGTTACCAAAAAAGGGGGAAGAAAGCATAACTGAATGAAAGCTTAGTAATAGATTATGAAACTACTTACATAAATGCTATCTATATGCTTACATAGTAACGGCATATCTACATATGTGGCAGCAGTAATAGAAAGACAGTAAACCGTAATACTAATGATAAAGCAGTAACAGTAAATATTCTATTTTATTGTATTGTATTTATTGTATTTGCTATGTTTTGCGTCTCGAAAATATTTATCATTGCGTACTTCTTTGTTTAATTTAAGTTCCCTTCCAAATTGCCTTATGTTTGCCTGCAAAACTAAAATAAAAACAATTCAATACTAATTTCTAAGTAATTTATATGTATATGTATTGTATACCTCTATTATAACCCATATATAAATATACTTATATCATTTGTGTAGCCTTAACTTAGAACTTTTCAATTGACGGTATTAATTATACATAATAAAACTTTATATTTTGTTCGTTAAACAAATTACTTATTGTTTCATTCATACTCACATACTCGAGAGAAACCTTTGAAGAAACGAATTTTAAATTAGTGAAAAATTGAAACCAACTACACAATTACATTTACTACATATATGAGAATCTCTCCCCAATTAAAGTTTTGAGTCATTTGCGGGGGAGCAAACTAGAAAAGCATAATACTCAACCACAACTGGCTATGAACAGAGCAGAAGAAATCGCTGTACATTTGTAATACATGAAGTACTATGCATATCTATATACAGATATACATATGTATAGTATCTCTAGAAAGTTAAGTAGGAAAGGAAACTGATATTAAATATTGAAAATATCAAGGCAGAGGTAAAAAAGACCAGCAGAAAGATGAAGATAACACAAGTCGAAACATATCAAACTCGTGCCCGATTAAAACTATATATACACATATATACATACTATATATAAATGAAAAGCAGCCACAAATTATGCGCAGCAATTTTCAATGGTTTAAAAAAGAAAATGATGAAATTATTTAAAAACAAAAACGAAAGTCTAAAGGGAAAATGCAATTTTTATTTGCATAACTCAAAGTTGAGTCTACTTTTATCAGTAAATAATACAAAAATAATGATTAATATTAATTAAAATATTAAAACTATAACAAATGGCAGAGTTTTGTCTATTTTGAGGCTCATTTATTTAACATTTTCGAAAAACAAAAATACGACTTTCCTTTTAAAAATCGAACAAAAATCTTTTGCTAATATTGTAAAAAAATTGATTTTTCAAAGCAAATGGAAAATAAAATATATAGCTAAATATTATTATAAAACTTACATAAAGCAGAAACAAAACTCGTATATATATAATATAAATATCAGCCTTGTTCTTTATATATATATTTGAAAAACCAAAAAAATGAAAAAACCATACAAAATATTAATAAATTATTAACTACTATAAAAAATGATACAAAACGTAAAAAATATTTAGCGAAATATTGTATTGTGAGTTTAAATGTATTGTTGCATACGAAACCAAAGAAAGACATAACAAATCGGTACAGTTAAGTTAAATATACAACTAAATGGCAATACCAACCGATTGGCAGTGACAGTTGATTGAGAAGAACAGAAAAAATGAACAGATCAGAGGCAAACCGAACAGAAAGAAGGTGAACCGTTTTTTCACAACAACCAGCAACCAGCGATAAGAACTAAACGAAATTGAATTCAATTTAAATTACCAAACAGATTATTTCAATTCAATAATAGCAGAAGGGCAAGCCCGCAAGACAAATTATACAATTTGATAATGATAATATTTTCAAGCGATCTCGATCGAGGGAAGCACAAACGATATGCCCTGCAGCTGAAGGGAAGGAGAACAACCAATCGAAGTTTGCAGCTGGCGACAAATTATAAAAATAATAATACAAATAATAAATAAAAACTTTAACAATTGTTTTGTGTAATTGTAAAGAATTGGAATTTAATGTGCTACAAAATGGTTGGGGGTTTGGTTTGATTTGTATTTGTATTATGCGCTACATGAAAGGTAAGTGATATAAAATTTATTTATAATAGAAAAAAATAGGGATGAGTAAATTTAAAAGTTACTCATTATTAAAAAGAATTTCAATTAATGAATTAGAGATTTTATGAATTAAGAAAAAATTAAAGAAGGTGCATTACATATTCGATATAGCTGCATTTTGAGTGGCTGTGCTTATCGCCTAACTCTCTGTCCGAATGATCTTTGGAAACAAATGGCTAACCCCTCAGATGGCAGACAAACGTGTTGATTGTCCAAGTACAAAAATCCCCACAATGGGTTTATTTAAGTCCAGTCCCAAAATAATCAGGTAAACAGAAAGAGAACCCGTCTTTTGTTTGCTTTGATCTCTTTACGTTTTTACCTGTTGAAGGAATGGAAAAATGGTTTGCAAATTTTGTTCCACTGAAGCACCCTGTTTCGAGAGAAGCTGTTGATTGGTTTAGATTCATTATCTCTCACTCAGTTGTTTTCCGACCGAGCAACTTGAAGGTTGTACAATGAGAGCTCTGTGTTGCGTTTTGCTACTCGTTTGGTTCTCGAGCCAAAGCGAAGCTAAAGTGTCCTGCAAGGACGAATCTGGAAACGATGTAGATTGGTAAGTTAATCGGCATTAGTTAACAAATTTGTTTTACTAGGTTTTGTAAATTTACACTATTTGAAGTGCTTGCTAATAAGCAGCTTCTTTGTTAATATTGACAATGCCAGCACAAATTTTTTGTTGAACTGAAGCTGTTGTTAACAAATAAAAGTACCTTTGCAAAAGTGGTAAATAAAGTTTACGTATAGTATTACTAAATTCGCTAATAAAAATATTTAAAAATGTAAGTGCTTTCTTTCATGAGGCTTACTACCTCATGATAAGGAATTTCTTTTTTGTTAACAATTAATATAACATTTTTAAATGCATTTTTTAAAGGTGGCACCTCTACAAGCTGCCCAAGCATTACCAACTTAACAATTTGGGCAAGGACAGCAGTGGCCTGAAGTACCTGTACGTGACCAGCCAGAGCTACGACACCTGGCAGATGTCGGGGAAGTTCATCAGTGATCCTCAATCCCTGCCAGCCCAAACCCTCAACCCACTGAATGCTGATCCCAACCACACTTTGCTGGCCGCCTACAACGATCAGCTGCCCAATGGAACCGTCTTCAGCAGCGGAGGACATGCCAAAGGAGTGGTGGCCAGCGATGGAGTAACGGCGATTTGGCTCGTTCACTCGGTGCCCAAATACCCCACGGTTCCCGACTACACGTATCCCACTTCCGGCGAGCAGTTTGCCCAGAGTATGCTCTGTGTTACTCTGAAGGCCGAGGATCTGGAGAAGGTGGGCCAGATATTGGTCTTCAACGAACCGCACTTTTACTACGAAAGGAATCCGCTGGTTGGTCGGTCGGATGAACTCTTCCCCAGTTTGGAAAGGGCTCTGCATGGTCAATGGCGTACGGAATCGCCTTTCCAGAAGGATGTGGAGATTCGCAGCTTGGATGGCAAGAAGTTCCATCTGTTCGGAAAGAGTGGGCGTGCCAATGTGGAGCTCTATGCCGACGTGGTTGCTCCTACTTTGGATGTCAGTCTGTTTGTGGAGGCTTGGCGTGATGGCTCCGGCAATCTGCCGAACAGCTGCGAAAAATCCGATAAGGTTCTCAACGTGGAGGGAATTTCCAGCCCGGAACTCTCGGTGGACTTTAGGACCACACAGGATCACTCGAAGTGGGCGGTTTCCCGCCCGACGGGCGTTTTAATCTATCATTGGCGCGTCGGCGGTGGCGATTGGATTTGTGTGGGTGACATCAACAGGCAGCAGGGGCAGTTGCAACGAGGCGGAGGAACTGTGTGCCACAAGAGCTCGAGGGTCTCCAATTTGTATCGCCAGCTGGTCGCCAATTACGACAAGTGTGCCGATGAGTAAAAACTCCTTATTTCACCCAATGTTTATTAAAACACCATACACATAAATAAAGGGAATACCTACGTTCAGCAATAAATAAATTATTTGGCTTGGGAGAGTATAAAAAAACCAGTTGCAGAATTTATTTTGTTTTGAACAATAAAACAAATTCTTTAAACACTTTCAATTTTTCTTGAATTGCGCCATTTCTCCACATATATTTTGCGATGGTTTTTTGAACTAAGTTCTACTACTAGGTAGGTAGGTACTAAAACTAGGTGGCGCGAGTGTGAAGTAAATGTGAACTTTTTTAAACAATAAATAGCGACCCCTATGTTTCACTTTTTGGCGACAAGTCTGATATATACCAAAAAACTCTGCACTTAGTATGACCAGTTGGCAGAAAAACACAGAACAGCTGTTTACGAAACCAAGCCAAACAGCGAAAAATATTCACGATTCGAAAACCCTATATATTTAACAAGGTTTAAAAAAACACGATTGGGAATACATCATCGATTTTGGGATGTTCTGCTGCCTACGCACCTGTCTGAATGGCGGACAACTGAGGAAACCAGTGGCGGCGAGTCGCCTCCGGGAACCCGATGTTCACCTGGACGCAGCGCATATGGGTAAGATTATATTCCATGAAGAAAGTTTAAAGCACTGTGGTTATCATTATCATATATGATAAGTAGGCTGCTATTTATTTGAACAGGACTACTATAGTTCCTAAGGAAATCAAACTTTAGACTGTGGGAATAAACCCAATGATTTGTTTACGGGGATACCCAATAACCATTATAACCATTAGTAGCAATAAAGATATCATTTTTCTTCATAATCATATATGATAATGATACAACAGTGTTGGATATATAGTAGATTTTACCAGCAAGTGATTTGACTTCGATTCATTCTTCTAGTTTAAATCTATTCAAATATGATTTTGATGTGACCTATTTAATTTTGAAGTGTTTTATAATCTTTTTCTTTCAAACTGATCCCTACATTTTATTTGTCTTTTTAGGACCTGATGTAATCCTGCTGTCACATCAACTGCGGGTAACTGGAACGGGAGGCGTTTTGGCCACAGCTCCTTTGGTCCAGTCTAAATCATACTTCGAGGTGAAGATCCAGCATGGAGGCAGTTGGTCCGTGGGACTGGCAACCCGGCAAACGGATCTCAGTCGGAAAAGTGGTGGCGGGGACCGGGAGTCCTGGTGCCTTTGCTCCGATAATGCCACGCGCCACAACGATCAAGAAGAATTCCGTCCGGTGGTGCAGGCCGCATGCACCACCCAACCATCGAGGACACCCAATGGAATCCTGAACAACAGCGCCGCCAAGGCAGCTGGACTTATCGCCATCGAGGATCTGCAGCAGGAAGATCTCCTCATGACCACTGGAGTTGCACCATCGGATGTTGGCATAGGAGATTCGTTGATAACTTCACCGCAAAGAGATTTCCCCGACGAGGGCGATATTGTGGGCGTGGCTTTCGACCATGTGGAGCTCAACTTTTATTTCAATGGAAAGAACTTGGAGGTGCCCTTCCGAAATGTGCGAGGAGCAGCATTGTTTCCAGTCATTTATGGTAAGATTTTGGTTAATTAAAGTAAACCGAAGTTAATTTACTATTTTTAGTGGGCAATGGCGCCATTCTGGACATTATCCTGGACAACTTTTCGCATGGTCCACCGCCTGGTTTCGAGCGCATTCTGCTGGAACAGTCGCTACTTTAGATAATCCAAACGACAGCCTTGAACAAATTATCAGCTTGAGAACAAAACATTGAAGAGATAAAGAACACTTTGTAACCTCTCTAGTCCTTATAATCCCCAAACCATAATGTATTTGTTTTAATTTATTAATATTTTGTAAATTATTTACGTAGCTTGACCTCGCGACTGCTTTTGTATTATACACCGTCACTTGTATCTGTATACAGATACGAAAGAATTTTTTTGTAGGAACTAGATCGTCACCAATCAATTCGAAGATTCTTACACATTCCAATTTACAACGGCAACGTACTCGAGCACGGAATTACCTAACTAACTATAAGAATATATATGTATGTATATCTAAATAAATTGTATCTACATGTATTTAACGCTTTGAAAACTGATAAATCCGCGCGCGGACAATAAATCAATGTTATGTACTTAACTTTATTGCTGATAAGTTTTCATAGTTTAGATTGTCAATCAAAATTTGGATTACTTTCGAAAATCGTTTCTACAAATTAAGAAAATTAATGGTTGAAAAGAGGAATGATATATGTCCGGAAAGGGGGAGATCATCCAGATTCACATTGGCCAGGCCGGTGTGCAGATAGCCAATGCCTGTTGGGAGCTATTCTGCCTGGAGCATAATATTCTGGCCAATGGAAGACTTACGCAAGGATCATTAGACGAAGCATTTCTCACATTCTTCGAGTTCACGAGCAGTAAACCATGTGTGCAGCCCCGACTAGTTATGATCGACGCGGAACCCAATGTTATAGGTTAGTTTTCTATTTATTAATCTCATATGTTTAGGGTAATTAAAGATTTTTCTTTCCAGATGAAATCCGTGTTGGCGCCTATCGCAATCTCTTCCATCCGGATACTTTAATCTCGGGCAAGGATGACAGTGGCAGCAACTTTGCCCGGGGTTACAACCTAATGGCCAGCGAGTTACTCGATCGCTCCATGAATGCCATTCGTCGCGTGGCTGATCGCTGCAGGAATCTCAGGGGTTTCCTTGTCTTCCGGGCAATTGGAGGGGGAACTGGCTCTGGTTTGGGCACCCGCATAATGGAGAGACTCGTCGAAGACTTTGGCAAGAAGACCGTTGTAGAGTTTCTGGTTTATCCATCGCCTTCGTAAGTTCTATCAGTTTTGATTTGGTTATATACGTATACGATGATCTTATATTTACAATCTTTTAATCTTACTTCACCCCAGGATATCTCCTGTTATTGTGGAACCTTATAATGCCCTGCTTGCTGCTCATTTCTCCATGGACTGCACCGATGTCTCGTTCATTGTGGACAACGAAGCGCTGTACGACATCTGTGCAAATACCCTAAATGTTCCTGCTCCCACATACACGAATCTGAATCGAATCACTGCACAGGTGGTGTCCGGTTTCACGGCATCTCAACGATTTGGCGGCGGATCGACCGTGAGTTTTCAGGAGCTGCAAACGAACTTAGTGCCATATCCGCGAATCCACTACCCACTGATAAACTACGCACCACTGGTTCCCATTTCGCACTCCCAATTCGTGGACATGTCGACGGCCCAGCTTACGGGTCAGTGTTTTCAGATGAGCAACCAGATGGTGAGGTGCAATCCATCGCACGGCAAGTACATGGCCAGTGTGCTTCTGTACCGCGGCGATATTGCACCCAACGAGATCAACACGGCGCTGGAGAACATCAAGCGGAACAGGTCTTTCAGATTCGTGGACTGGTCGCCCTCGGGCTTCAAGATCGGCGTGAGCCCCATGCCGCCGTGTTATGTTCCCGGCGGTGATCTGGCGCCCACCAATCGCGCCTGCGTGGCCATCTCGAACAACACGAACATCCGGATCGCCTGGTGCCGCCTGGTCAACAAGTTCGACAAGCTCTACCAACGGCGGGCCTTCGTCTATCACTACGTGGGCGAAGGACTCGAGGAGGGCAACTTCAACGAGGCCTCCGAGAATATATGCCAGCTGGTGCACGATTACCTCGAGGTGGATGCGTCCGCTCCTGTATCGCGTAGGGACTCCGATCCGGGTGAAGACTGAAGCTCCTTAGGAAGGTGGTTCTTTCAACATTCATACTACCATTTTCTCCTTTTTATCGTAACAAAAAGAACATAATAAATTCGCTGTTTTAAATTCAAAAAGCTTTTTTTCGGCTTACCTTTAGATTTCTGTTATTTAAAGAGCAATTGCTGTCTCGATGACTTTATTAACAACGGCTTGCGTTTCTATACTCTTAAAAAAAAGGAAAGCTTGTGTCACCATGTTTTAAAAACATTACATCATTCAAATTGAAAAAATCAGCGAAAAAAATACAAAATTTTCTTTTAGATATGCCACTTCAAAATGTGAACAAAATTAAAAGAGTTTTTTGATTTGGAAATTTGGAAAGGGGACGGACCAACGGACAGACGTACACATCTAGTTCGATTCAGATCGTGATGGTCTTCAAGAGTATATATGTATGTTTTATGGGGTCTAAAGTGTCTTCTTCACTACGTTGCAAAACTCTGAATGAAATGATAATTGCCGCTGCAAGGGTATAATAAGAATAAAAATAATAAAATGTTAGAGTAAAGTAATAACAATAATATCTATAAATTAAATTTTTCTCTGGTGCCAGAGAACTTAAAGATTCACATTTCCGGAGAGTATTTCCAGATTCGGTCTACGAAAAACACCCAACCCTTTTGTTGCCTTTCTTTTTTGAGGCTTTCGTCAGCTCGAAACCGTTGGCTAAATTAAGTATTTATGGTTGGCTAAAACAAACATTGACCCAGCCTGTAATTTGCGTTGCTTGACCCCAGAACCGAAAGCCAAAAGAAGCGGGGGGCGATATGGAGCCGATGGGCGTGGCCATCCCGTCCGATACGGGGGTATAATTAAAATGATCGCAGCCCGAGGGTTTAGCACGTACCGAGGCAAAAGTCGCGCTTATCGCGATCGCACCCAGGGCAAGGTCTTCCCGATCCGGCATCTTCGGGTGATCATCATCCCGGTCCTCGATCGTCCCTTAACCCCTTGTACCCTTAACCCCCTGGCGGCCACTCCGATTCTACAGTGTGTGTGACGTGACTTACGCACGCTTAAAGCGCGATTATCGACGAAGGGATCTTGGCCAGCACGCAGAGACCGCTCACTTGGCCATCTTATCAGCGGAGCTGGCTGGCTGGTTGGATGGCTGAGTTTTGGTGTGGTCCTTGCGCAGGATGACCGCTGTTATTAAAGGCATTATCATTATGAGATCCCGGTGCCTTTCCGCCAATTCCTTTGTGTGTTAACTGTTGCTAATCTTAAATTGAAGTCGAACCTCTTGCTTTTGTTTTACAGCGTGAGAACCGCTGCGTGTGGTTTTAACTGAATCTTTCTTTTTCCCCGACTTCCAGGGGGTGTTAATGAGCTAAAGGAAATGCCAAAGGACCACCTTGAGCTGAAAGTTAGGTGGAATTAAGCTGTTATTTCGATCGACATGGGCTAATAAAGCAATTTGGCCAGATTGCCAAAAGCGAGGATAGGCATTCTGAAGGGGTGGAAATAAAAAGGAAGAATGGATGGATGGTGGGGATTGACGACCCCTGTGCCACAACATTTGAAATATCTAGTTAACTCTGGGGCCGCTCTGACCTCCTTTATTTATGCACTAATCCGTGGGAAATGCTCGTCGAGACACCTGGGGCCGATTTATGCCACAAACGAAACGAACAAAAGGAACAACAACCATTGCAGCTCCGCACCCGCTACAAAATAGTCAAGCATAAAAATTAACATTAAAAGTCGATTAATAAATGCTCTTTATTATGATTTTTAGCTAAAATTTAGTTGCAATGCTAACATTAAATAACTTAGTTCTGCAATTAGCTAAGGAAAACAAAAGGTGAAATGGAAAAGATTAAATAAAAATAATCTGTATTTATTTTAACTTAAATTTTTGGTTGCTGAAATTATTGAAAAAATTTATTTAACGAGCCGCGAAAGAAGTTAAATATAGGCAAATACGAACTAAGATCGAAATGTGTCAAAAACGATCCGTTTACCATCATAGTGTAGTAAAAATAGGGTATAGCATAAAGGTAGAAATATTAAACAACCGTCGAGTGAATTAATAAAGCGCCTTGCGAGGCGGCCACGCATTAAACGACACACACCACAGAAAACATTGCAACGAAAGCAACCAACCAGCTAGGCCAAAAGGCAGGAAGAGCTCCGTTCGGAGGACCATGCCACATGTGTACGAATTCGAATAGATGCCACATGACTGACCACTCCAATGCACTGCACTCCACATTTGTTGTTGTTGCCCGTTTCTTTGTAGCCGAGGGCAAACATTTTGGAATTGCAATTTTCGACTTCATTTCCAGGCTTTGAACGCCTTGGTTACTTTACGTTTTTCTCTTACCCTGGATGTGGCAACGGGAGCGGTGGGGGAACTCTGGGTTCGAGGCACAGGCAACACCTACCAAAGGCACCAAGCCACCAAATGGGCAACAAAAACACAACAGCCCGCTGAGACAACGGGGGGCGGTTGAAACTGAGGCAGGGAGCTCAAGGGAGGGTACCAGAAACTCTAAGAAAAAAATTAGTAAAATTAGAATAAGATTACATATTTATTTATACATAGTTTTTGTTAGCCTTTTTTTTTTTGATACTAGATTAACAAGTGGTACTTACTTATTAATAAACCAATTGATTCAAAATAAACTGAGATCCCCAAAATCAGCTTAAAAGAAGTTTAGAGAAAACCAAACCATAATTTCTGTTGAAATAAATTTAAAATACTTTTCAGCATAAAATAAGTTTCTGGACAAAATCACTTGTACTTCTGTTGGAATTAGATTATATTTTTATAGTAGCCAAAAGTATATGGTAATGGAGTGATTTTCCCTGAGTGTAAGCCACGCAGCAAGTGTTTCGATTTATGTTTTTGCGCCTCGGCCGCCACAGCCAGCTAGCTACATGCCACATGCTCTGGCCGAATCGAGTCGCCTGCGCGGCATTTTCATTCAAAATGTTTAACCAGCCCCGCCGCAAGACCACTTGTTGCTCTTTTATTCATTCAATTTGTCAGTTTTGCACTAGCACAAAACGAAGCCCAGTCCACTCGAGTCCAGGCCGAGATCTCTTCCCCCGTTTCGCCGCCGACGGAGTCAAAAGGTTATCGCCACACTTGCCGCATTTATACGGCCTCATCATGTGGCATGATCATCACGACGATGATAATGACGCCGATCGCGGTTGTGGGCAACGCGCCGAACTCTCCTCCGTTCCATGTTTACATGGCAAAATTATTAGTAGTAATATTTGTGAAATATTTGTTTTCTAATCTGTAAACACCAATCATATTAGCAATTTGAATATGACAGCGCCAGCTCCAAACAGTAACAGGCCTTGTTGTTGCTTTTATTGCTGCGCTACGGAGAGGGTATCTTGATTTTTAGTGAAGTTTAGTACGTTCTTTCAACTATTAAGATATTTGAGTGTTTAGCCCCTTAGGTAGCAAGTGATATTCCCCAATATTATAATACATTGATTACTGGTAAACCCATAAGTGGGCATCTTTTTTAAACAGTTAACTAGCCTAGTTCAAACTAAATCAAAAATAGTACTAAAAAAAATAGTTTACATAATAATTTGACTTTTTCTACATTGTTTCTAATTCACATGAACGAATTCCCTTCAAGCCATCTAGATACATTTGATACATTGTATCTGAAAGAGTATCTTGATATCCGTTAGCAAAAACCCTTCCCGTTTTATATAGGATTTTTGTGGTCAACGGTCAGTGGCTTTCGGCTAGTATTTTGGTTATTATGTTGGTTTGCCTGGTTGGCTCCTTCGATGGGTGGGTGGGTTGGTAGGTGGGGCGTGAGTTATTATCTATTCAATTGTTGCACTTTGCTGCTTCCTATTGCCTTGGGGCATGGCAATGGAAACCACCTCTCCCTGCGCTCGTTCCTCCCCTTAGAAATTTGTTGCTGTGCAGTTATGAGGCGACTGGCATGAAATTTATGATAAATGCCAAGATCTCCGCAGCCTCGAATTCGACTCGGCTCGTTAGCCGTCTCCCGAGCATCGTTTACAACACTTTAAGAGGATTTTACTGCGGCCCCAGTCGCCTCGGCTCCATTGGCAGCCATTAGCAAGCCAATTGACATACTCCTTGACAGACGGTCTGCGGAGAGCTCTAAGTGCATGGAATTTATCATTGGCGATGAATCGACGGCGATGGCGGCGGCGGCGGAGGAGGCTGTTGCCAAAAATGGTACAAATAACGACATAATTTGGCCACAGATCTCCAACCAACAACGCAGATCAGCAGCAGGCCACATTTGAAGCCAAATGGCAGGCAACTTGCAACTTGCAGCTTGCAGCTTGCAACTCGAAACTCTCTGGCAACGACAATCGACATATGCAAATTGACTGTGAAACGCAGACGACGCACGCGGGATAACAGCCAAAAATGGTGTGCAAATCGTTAGGCCACTTTGTAAGTGCACTTAGAGAAAAGTATCTAAAAAACTGCCGAATGGGTAGCATTAAATTTGGTAATGCTGCTGCAATAAATTCTGCCTAATATTCCAAATTGGTAATCGTAACACTTCGTTATATCATAGAATGATAAGAGGATAACCAAATTGTCATCTTTTCTCCAATTTAGGTATCTCTTAAACTTTTTATTCCAGTGCTTTTCCAGTCGTGCCTTGCATAGATCGCACATAAATAATTCAATTAGTTAAAGTTGAAATTAGCGGGCAACAAAACATTTTGTGAAAAGATTTGCCAATCTGACAGTCTTTGATCTCTCGGGGGCCATTTGAGCCGGCAGATGACATCATCCGCCAACGAACTAAACGGTCAGATCAAATGGATTTTTGTGCCGCTTAACTAAATGGCTAAATGCCTTACTGGCTATCAGTTAGCATAGAAAAAGCATAGGCCATGTTTGAACTTGAAATTCCATATTAAGTGCATTTTGAAATAGAATCGAGTGCTGGAAACTGAGTCGGAGTTCATTGTGGTTTTTTTTCAGCACCGGCATGGTAATTACTCTCAGCCTCTTTGGCCCGCTGCAGCAGCCTTGCAATTTGAGCAACAAAAAAGTCAAATTCTGCACTAAACGCAATTAATCAAGCGCCTTGGGTCGTGC